CTCGTGACCTCGCACTTGCCAGGCAGGCACTGATGCCGCTGAGCTCTTCCGAGCCTCCATGGCCAGTGTCTTGTATTAGTCATTCCAGTGGGAGTTGTGGTGGAATTTTCTCATGGGTGGAGCCACATTTTCCAAATGATTATTACTGCTGGACTCTGCCAATTTGCCCCACATGCCTCCTCTTTGGTGTTTATTCAAGTATTTTTCTAACTTATGCCAGATTATTTATTTTCTTCTTGTTGAGTATTTCTGTATCTTAGGTTTCAAGATTTTTCTCTTATGTGAAATTTACAAATATTCTTTCAAGTCTTTAGCTTGTCTTTTCTTTCTCTTAACTGTATTTCTTACAAAAGTTTTCATCTTTGATGAGGTTCACTTTATCCACTTTATTCTTTTAAAAGTCAGGCTTTTGGAGTGAGGTGAACAAATTCCTTGCCTACTCCCAGGTCCTGATGAATGCCTGCTTTCTTTCAAAATTTTAGAGTTTTGCCTTGTAAGTAGAAATGTATGAGCCATTTTAAGTCTTATATAAAATGTCATTTTAGTTTGAGATTCTTTTTCTTTTCTTTTTTCTCCTCTCTTTTTTTTTTGGGGGGGTGGGGGCCCATGGATGTCCACTAGTTCCAATATCACTTGTTGAAAGGATGATACTTTCTTGAATGGTTGCCTATGTACTTTTGTCAAAATCAACTAATCAGGGCTGGCCAGATAGCTCAGTGGACTAAAGCACCTGCTTAGGGAGAGCACAGCGGCCTGGGTTCGTTCCCTAGTATACCATGTTGGCCCTGGCCCCAGGGCACGCTGAGAAGTTGATTGAGACTGGGCGTGGTGGCGTCCCCCTGTAATCCCAGCACTTGGGAGGCTGACAACAGGAAGATCACTATGAGTTTGATCTATATAGTGAGACCCTGTAGACCCTGTCCTAAATATATTTTAAAATAACAAATAAATAAATAAACTGATCCTATTTGTGAGGTTATCAGAACCTGGACTCCATTCTGGCCCATTGATCTATGTGTTTACCCTTCTCCAATGCTTCCACACCTTGAGGACTATACTTGTACAACTCTTAAAGTAAAGTAATGATTTCGCTTTTTGTTCTTCTGTTTTACACTTGCTTGGCTCTTTTGGTTCCTTTGCATTTCCATATAGTTTTAGAATCAGCTTATCTCTAATCAAAATACTCCTGGCAATTATACTAAATCTATAGGTCAGTTTGGAGAAAATTAACATTGTCACTCTGGTAAGTTTCCTAATCCATAATCATAGTCTATCACTCCAACTCTGTTGTCTTTGATTTCCTTACAAATATCTCTACATGGGGCCAGGGCGATAGCTCAGTGGCCCAAGTGCCTGCCTGGCAAGCACAAGGTCTTGAGTTTGATCCCTGGTACCCCTCAAAAAAAGATCTATGCATGTTTTGTTAGAATAACATCTAGCATGTTATTTCTTTTGTGCTATTGTGCATGGTAATATTTTTACACTTTTGTGTTGTCTTTAATTGCTCATTGCTAGTATATAGAAATATGCTTAACTATTCTTTTAATAATAGGCAACTATAAAAAATAGACAACTATAACCATAACAAAAATTTATAACTGCATACATACCTCATCTGATCTGTGTAACTAATTTATAGGGAAAAAGCCCAAATCAAAATCAGTGCAAAAAAAAA